ATTCAACATCTGTTTGTAGCCAGTGTGCTAAAGGTCTCAGAGAGACATCAGGGTATGGTTGGGTTTTGAAACGCTCTTAAAGCATAAGACAGCTACACTGTAGAGTCACACTTCTGAGAAGAGCAACAAGAGAGCATATTTGAGCAGAGCTCCTAACAGCAAAGACCATGCCTGGACAGTGCTCCAACTCAGTGGGCTTAGGAGCCAGTGAGATCCAAAGATCCACAAGATGCTGGTGGTAGGTGTCCAACAAGAGGGCATTGACCAGATGTAGGATATCACCCAACTACTGTGTCGAGTAGGGGTTGGGCAATTATTTGGACCCAAGGACCACATAGGAAACTGTCATAGGTTGGGTGACTGCCTTCTCCCCTAACATGCAGCAACTCACCAAAATTCCCTATGGGGCTTTGGGTGGGTGGGGAGCAGTGTAGAGCTAGGTGGAAGGCAGCCAGGAGCTAGAGCAGAATCTCCATGCACTGGGCAGGAGCCGCCCAGCTGAAGCTTCCCCACTGCCCAGAGTGGCACAGCAGGAGCAGCAGCTGCAGTTGGAGGCAAAGGGAGAAGAGCAGCCCCACCCAGCTCACAGCTTCCGGAACAGCCCTGTCGCAGGTGGAGACGAGGGGGTGATATGGGGCCCTGTGCAACTTCTGGTGGGGCTGTTCCCAGGGTGGCTGAAGCTGAATGAGTGCTGCTGTGCTCCCCTCGCCTCCTCTGGCCACTCCTGCGCTTGGTGCCTTGCTTCACATAGGTGGGTGGGAAGCTTCAGGCCAGCAGCTCCTGCTGGAGGTGAGGGGAGCAGAGGAGCATCAGGCTGACTGCAGCCACGCTGGGAACAGCCCTGCCAGAAGCTGGGCACTGGCCAGGGCCTGGGCTGGCAGAAGTATGGCACAAGCTGCCTCAGCAGGAGCGGTTGGGACTCGGCCCCATGTGGAGCACTGCACTGGGAACAGACCTTCCAGAAGCTGTGTGCTGACCAGGACGCGGGCTGGGGCCGGGGCTGGCAGGTGTGGCAGGAGCATGGCACAGGCAGCCCTGAGCAGGGCTCGGCCCCATGTGGAAAGCTGCAGGGGCAGCCGCCGACCAGAGCTCTGCCGCACAGCCCCCCCCACATGTGCACATGACCCCTCCACACACACTCCCATTACCCCATTACTCCCATTACACCCCCCCCCCCC